ACATCCTCAGGGAAAACCCCAGGATGATCTGAAGCTTGTCTCACACATTTGCTTTCTCTCAGTGACTAGACCCTTTCAGGTCCCCACCCCCCGCATTGTCACATTGCTAATTCCTTCAAAGATTTGCTTTATATATTTTTCACTGGCTTTATCATTATTTTGGCAGGGAAATTAATGACACAAACCATTCCCCATGGGCAGAACCAGAAGCCTTCTACAGTTTCCATTTACTGAGCCCGTCTCAAAACTAACCGCTCAGGTCAGCAACAAACGTTTTTCTTAGAAGACATGGACTTCATTCTATTTCAGTCTACAGAAAATAGAACTGTTAAAAGTTGGACCACAAACAGAGCTGCCTAAGCTCTTTAACTGTTATCAGACTGAATTTTTGGCATTTGCTAAGAGTAACATGGTTCTGAGACTATGAAAGAATTCAAGAGTCTACTAGACTGAAGACAATATTTACATTGCTTTAGAATTCTTCTCAAAGTCATTAGCCTAGAAAAGCCAAGTGAATTAAAAACCAGCTATTGAAGAGTTGAGCGATCACAATGTACATGAACAAGGGCTACAAGAGTCTAAGTTATGAAGCCACTGATTACGGAATCATAACTAGAATCCATTGTGTCTTGAGGACTCTGTTCCAGAATCAACTTTGCTTCACCTGTAACAAGAATGCTGAGAAGCATTCACCGGGATTACTTTACATGAGAATAGGCTTTCCTTAGGTAGAGTGAGAAGAATCACCCAGTGTGTCCAGCTCTCCTTACAAACCCAAGTGAATAACCTTGGTTACCTGGGAGGATTGTTTCTTCTCTGATGAGTGTGTTTTCATGGTTCTCCAGTCAGGGTTTAATCAGAGGACAAAAGCCACATCTGTTACTTCATTATTTAGTTATTTAGTTATTTATTTTTATATGTACGTGTGTGTCTGTGTATGTGTGCAGGTGCCACAGAGGCCTGAAAAGCATATAGAATCCTCTCGAGTTGCAGTTATAGGCAGGTGTGATCCACGTGTCGTGGGAACCGAACTCAGGTTCTCTGGAAAAGCAGGAAGCGCTCTTAACCCCTGAGCCATCTCTCCAGCTCCCACATCTGTTTGGTTTTTTTGTTGTTGTTGTCTTTTTTTTTTTTTTTTCGGTCTTTTTGAGACAGGGTCTCCCTGTAGCCCCAGCTGTCCTGGAACTCACTGTGTAGACCAGGCTGGCCTTGAACTCACAGAGATCTGCCTGATTCTGCCTTCCAAGTGCTGCGATTAAAGGTGTGCGCCACCACGCCGGGCTCTACATCTGTTATTTTAACAGATCTTTTAGCTTAAGATTGATCTGGTATTGAGCAAATAAAATAGTAAGGAAAGAATCACACGGAAACCACAGGCAGCAACCACCACTCTTAGAATGAAACAAACAAGAGTTGCTGACACTACAGCTATTGGACAGGAGCTCTGAGAGTCGGCCTTCAGACTCTGAAGAGGGGCCCAGGCCAGCTGATGCTGGTATGTCTGAGGGGAGGTGTTAAGGCAGGTTCTGAGAATGTGGAAAAACTGCAAACAGGAATTCACTGCTGCTGTTGGAACCAACTGTCGCTGCCAGGTGATGTTGACAAAGACAGGATGCACCCATCCCACTCCACCAGCCCCCTGGCTTCCTCTCAAGGCCCACTGGTAGAGCCTTTAGAGACCCAGCTGACAGCAGAAACACAGTTTGAAGAATCCTAGCCACAACATCACAACTGTCAAAAAAGCTTGAATCTGAGAGGCAACAGCATGATCAACCAACACGCTGGGAAGATTTAGCTTTCAGTGTGAAACGGCTTAGGAGAAACAGAACTACAGCACTAATTAATATTTTTATGTTAGGAAGGAATTTATACATGGTGGGTGTTTTCAAAACATGATATTTAAGAGACTAAGGCCTGTTAGTGACAGTTTTATAACTCTACTTTAAAATGTGTAATTGAGAATTAACTTAGACTTGTGAATTTTTATGGTGGCATCTGAGTATACATAGAGTAGTATAAAATCATTTAATGGAACTTATGGTTTTCCCTACAAGCTCAACTTATCAGCATTCATGATTTAGGATTCAGGATGTGTTTGCTTACTGTCAGAAACTCTGGAGTATTTAAAAGAGATAGATTAAGTTTGTAAATTTATTTAAAAGTGTTTGAAGTGCTCAGCTAAGCTTGTAAATAGGAGTAGGCATTATTCAAAGGCATCTCTGAAGTTAGTGTTAAAAACTTGCTAGATATAAATAGAATATTAAAATTTATAAGCTGAACATAAAAGCATAAAAAAGGTCTTTGAATTAGCTTATTGACTGATGGTAAAGTATATTATTTCTTAATATTTCACTAAATATTAAGATTTTTAAAGCCAAATTTAAATCAAATGATATTGAAGAGAGAAAAAAACCCCACCAAAGTCTTTTTTTCTATGTAAGAAACCTCCTGCCCAGGACGCTGGACTCTCCTTGCCTCTCTCCTGTCTGTGTTCTCTAGAAGTGATGGATCCTTAGCTTCTCTGAAACCATGAAACTATCACTCACCTTGTAGCAGGCTAAGGAGACTGTACTCTTGGCTTAGCTACCCTCCTTCCTCATTTTCCCTCAAGCCAGGAGGGACAGAATGCACAGAATCAAGCCAGATGCACAGAATCAAGAAGGCATGGCACTGGACTTGGGGTCTGGGTCTCATCCACTTCTAGTCTCCAAGGAAGCAAGCATCTTGGTTATATGTCATCGCTGTATTCCCAGGACCAAGAAAAGTACTTACACGGTAAAAGCTCCTTCAGAATATTCCAGGTGAATGGATGCAGGTGGTGGTGCACTAACATGTCAGGGATATGCCAATGACTTTCAAACAACAGACTTGTGTTATCTCATAGTTCTGTAAGTTAGACATGGTTCTCACTGGACCGGAACCTCAGAATGATGTTTCCTAACCTGTGCAGCTTCCAGAGCTCCCCATATCCTTTGGCTTCTGGCAGTCTACTTTACCACTGAGGTAGAATCCTCCCTGGCCATTTATCAGCAAAAACATAGGATTATTAATCGGTTCAGATAGCACCTCTTCAAATATTCTTATTAAACCTTCAGAGGTCTCAAACTAATGCTGCCCTTTTAAGAGTATTTATGCTGAGAGTAGAACATTATAAATGTCCTTCCTCCCATAGAATCAGAGGAGAACATGTTGGGCAAGAGCCCATGGTAAATAAGCGTCCCCGTCAGGTCAAACACTCTGGAGAAAATATGCTTGTTTTGGAAGAAGCCTTGAAGGTCTTTTTTTTTTTTTTTTTTTCAGTTTTCTAAACTCTACAGAAAAGATGCTTCTCCAGGAAACAACCTGCCTTAGCTGAAGGAAGACTGTGGCTTCACTCTGGAGAGAAGGCTGCAGGAAGGGGGAGCAAGTGTCAGGACAGGCAGTGTGGGGAGTTGGAAAGCAGGATGCACCAAGGCCAAGACTGCTGTTCTTGCAGATGTGATCAAAACACACCTGAAGCTCCCAGAATGGCAACACAACAGGAACAAAACGATGTTTATTGGATCTATTTTGGAAACAGACAACATGAAAAAAGGAGTTTGGTTTGTGAGTTCATCCAGAGTGCAGAGCTGGGATGACGTCTTTCATTAAACCTGAGCCAAGGGAAAACCTTAGCATAAAATGACAAAGACGCATCTTCATCCCACCAAAGGGAGGAAACGTGGTTAAAACGGCTGCACATAGGACACTTGCAATGGGTCTGATGGCTAAAATGCCCATCAATGTCCACAGAACATGTATGGTCTGGAAGCTTTTCTGTATTAACACCAGGTGTGTCAAAGATAAGGTTGTAAACTGTTTAACAGTCAGCAGCAATTAAAAGCAACGGTTTGTACAGATGCTCCCACTCTCAGCCTGAACGCTCACATTCTTAACTGATGCCTTCTGTCCTTGACAGAGACATCAGAGATAAGGAAAGGGGCATTTTAAAAGCATACACTGTTAATCTTATCAACTAAAAAAGCAAACCCAAGCATAACTAATTACTTTGCCTGGATCAATAAATAATCTCAAATGTGTTCTAAGTGTACTAACAAGGATCTAGTCATCAGTTAAATAAATCACTATTTTCCATTGATAACACATGGTAGTTAACTGTGTAGGCTTTTAGTTGGTGGATCTCTGTGAGATCGAGGCCAACCTGGTCTATATTATGAGTTCCAGGCCAGCTGGGGCTACCCAGAAACCCTATCTCAAAAAAAAAAAAAAAAGATTTTTTTTTTTTTTTTTACGTGTATATGTGTGTGCCTGAGCGTATGTGTCTGCAGGTGCTTACAGAGGCTAGAAGAGGGATGTCAAATCCCCTGGAAGTAGAGTTACAGTTGTGAGCCACCTGATGTGGATGCAAGAGCAACAAGTGCTCTTTTCTTTTTGATACAGGGTCTCCCTGTAGCCCCTACTGGCCTGGCACTGACTATGAACTGACCTTGAACTCACAGAGATTCACCTGCCTCTACCTCCCAAGTGCTGGAATTAAAGGTGTGCACCACCACGCCCAGCAGCAAATGTTTTTAACTGCTTAGTTGTCTCTCCAGCCCCAGTTTGTGGACTTTATATACCATATATGTAGAGATTATTTTCTGTTTGAAATTCTCAAAGGAATTCAGTCATTTCTCTGTGTGGGTGCACATGTGTGGACATGCGTAGACATTTTTGTGTCATTTTCTCTTGGAAAGATGAAATTTAAATTTTTTAAATTTCCAAATCACAAGCTATCAAGAGCACAACTGCAGTCACATATCAGATCTTCATCCAGAAGGGAAATACCATCGAGGATTAGATGAGCTTGGAAGGCCTCTTCTGCTGGCAGCTTATGTCTTGAGATCTCATAGACAAAACTTCCGAAGATGAACAGGATCCTGAAAGTCCACCACACACCACCATAAGAGTCAGGGGAAGCCTTCTGTTTTCATGAGCTGCTACTAGCAGGGCCAATAGACAAATACAAAGAAGACAGGGACTCAAGGCGACAACAAGCCCCTCCATCCTGGAGGGCACAATGTTATGAACTGAACACAGCACCAAAGCCTGCTGCCTCATACAGTTTTGAGATTTGATAGAAATTCCAGATACTTCTGGGTTCTTTTGTAACCTCAGGGAATAAACATCCTTCCAAATAAAATGTGCTGAACCCTCATGTCCCCTTTCACTGTAAAGCACAAAAAACATTCTGGTTACTATATTTTGGGGCTCAAGAGGTGGTCTCCCCACTTCAAAGCATCCTTCCCTAGAAGCCAAGACACTCACAAATACAGGCCATTCCAGACTCAGGTTCCAGCTCCTTCCAGAGCTCCAAGGTCTGTGAGTCCTGCCAGCCACAGATCCCTTTTTTCTGAACCACTTCCTGTCTCCTTTCCCAACGGGTCCACTTGTTTTCAGACATATCCCACTAGGAATGAACAGTGCAGGATCCTATGTGCAAACATTTGCAAACAATGTTTCTAAACAATACACATTTAAGAAATTCAAGTGAAATCCAGGTACACAATAGTCGGCTGCTATCAGCCAGGCCTGCATATGAGTAACAGGAAAGTGGTCCGTTTCTAAAACTAGAGTGGGAATAAGGCACTAGTGGCTGAGAAAGTTCATTCCTGGAGTCTAGGAGGAAGCCTGAGAGGGACACACTGAGGCTTAATGCAAGACAGGGTTGTTCCCGTGTGGTAGTTCTCCTAGGCCAAAGCCCTTTGTGTAGACTATGCATGACGTCTAGAGAGAGGTAAGGATGGACCGTCACCCACCAGTGGGACAATTCTTTCCCAGTAATTCTGAGATTAAAGTGAGGAGGGCACTTCCCAGGGCCATGTGTGACAGGGGCTGCAGTTGACTATATGCTGCAAAAACCTCTCTCCTCTTCACTCACAGGCCTCTACCTCTCAGGAGCATTAGGGGAACAGCAAAGGCTGGTGTGTTCCCAAGGCTCTTGTATGTGGTCTGACCTTTTGCTGCAGTAAAGCCAGAATGCTGGGATATATCATAGGAAGCATTAACCAGTCCAAGAGGGAGGAAAGGGCCCAGAGACGAGGATCCAGCTCAAGCAGGCAAGGCTAGAAGTCAGGAGAACAGCAGACAGTTGGGTTTGCACAGTCTGATGAGCTAGTCATAGACACCATAATGGAGAGGTTTACAAGGGTTTCCTCTAATGCATTTAGGCTTCACTTGTGCCTTAAAAGAAATAAGGCAGCACTGCCCAAAGGGAGAACCCCTTGGTGACCCATGGAAGAGAGAGACTGTCTCATCCTGATGCTGGCTCAGCTGAGGGAAGCACAGTTCAGTTCAGAGTCCTCCTGGCTACCACTGGCCCCCTCCTCCAGTTCCAGTTCGTCAGGGCTGTCAGGGATGCTGGGTTCACTGGAGCACTGGCGGTGAGGTGGTGGGAAGCTGGGTGACAGGAGCAGGTGCTTGTCCTCACTGCTAGCCTCCTCCCCCATCCCTGAGTGCATCATGGTGGCCATGGCCAGCAGCTGAATGTCTGAGTGGGCATTGGCCACCGTATGCCGCCGGACGCTGCCACACTTCTCCAGGTAGGCCTCTCCCTCCTGCTCTGTTAGTGGGGTCAGGGCCATCTCATTCAATGGCCGGCCCACTGTGGTCATCAGGGAGGTGTAGTTCAGGACAGTCACCTTGGGTCGGATCCTGGAATGCCGCCTCGCTGCAAGAGAAAAGGCAGCAATGGCTGTGATTAGGGAGAAGTTACCAGTGGTGAAAAGCTTCTCATCAGATGGAAGGAGAGAGAAAGAGGGAGGTGGGTGCTCAGACTCTGGAAATAGCCTTGAGTATGTCCTGCTGAAATTCGAAAGAGGACAAACCATCAGAAGCTGTCCTGCAGTGTTACCTGCTTATACCAGATCCTGTCCCTGGTTAAGCCATCACCACAGTGAGTGGTCACCACAGACTTTTCTCGATGGAGTGGACAAAGGCAGCCTCCCTTTCCTGCCTGAGCCTCTCTAGATCAGTCCTTAGTTCCATTCAGTCCCTTTATTGTATTTCAGCTGTCTCCTCCAAAGACCTGGGCATTGGCTAGGTCTTCAGAGCTTTATTGAGGATATGGCATCTGCAGTATTAAGAGATGATAGGAGGGCTGGGCTCAGTCAGGAAAGAGGATCCCTGAGCCTCACTGGCTAGCGAGCCTAGGCTACTTGACAAGTTCCAAACCAGTGAGGGACCCTATTTGAAAAAACAAAACAAAAACAGAAAAAGCAATGGACTAGCAAGATGGTTTAGTCGATAAAGCACTTGCTGTGCAAACCTGAGGATCACAGTGTGGATCCCCAGAACCCAGGCAAATGCCAGGTGTGTGTGGTTTGTGAGTCCAGCACTTGGAAAGTGGAAGACAATCTCTGGCACAAGCTAGCTAACCAGACTAGCCCATATTGGTGAGCTCTCTGTTCAAGTGGGAGAGCTTGCTTTAATGCATAAATGTGGAGTGATTGAGGAAGATTCCTAATGTCAACCTTGGGTCTCCATAGGCAACACATGTCCATGCACATCCACACCCACACCCATCTACACACATGTGAACACACATGCATGTATTCATGAAAGCATACCACACACACACATATACATGCAAAACAACAGCAACCCCCCAAGAGGTAGATTGTGCCCAAGGAATGACACCTGAGGTTGACCTTCTAGGCCACACACACACACACACACACACACACACAAAGGGGATGAAAGAGGCTTCGTAAATTTAATTCTCAGGAAGAAGTGACTGGGGACAGCCCTGACTATTAAATCCAAGGTAGTGGGACCATTGGGAAACCTTGAGTGAGGAAAATAATGTCCCTTACCCACTCCAGGTTGATGAGCTGAGACCTGTGGTCAAGTCACACCTCCTTGATTCAAACAGCATCTAGGACTGTCAAAACCAGGCTAGGTTCCATGGGTGGTTCCAAGGAGGCAGACCAGTGAGGAGGGCCAGACACAGATTGTTACAAAACCACTGTTTGTTTAGCACTTTCTCCGTTCCAGAAACTTCTGAAGCTTAACATGTGCTAGGCCTGGTGGTGCGGGCTTATTATCCTAGCTACTCAGGAGGCTGAGGGAGGAGGATCTCAAGTTCAAGGCCTGTAGGCTACAAAGCAAGTTCAAGATCACTCTGGGAAAGTCAGACCCTGCCTGAAGATAAAAAGTGAAGAGAGGGCTGGAGAAGTAGCTCAATGCGGGAACACTCACCTAGCATGTATGATGTCAGAAATTCAGATCTCATCACAAAAAAAAATTAAACGTTTAACAGGTATTCCAGAGTCTTCCTAGAAACTGAACCTAAATCATGACATATTCATATTACTTTCTAGTTTAAAGAGGAGAAAAATTAGTATCAGAGAGGTTAGAATTTACCCAGGCTCACATAGCTAGAACACAGCCGAACTGGGACTCAAACAAGCTCTGTCTCACTCCAGACTTCCCTTTTCCTAGCTGCCTCTAAGTCACCCATCAATACTACAGCTAAGTACCTTGAAGAAAGACAAGCCAATGGGGTCCACAGGTGTGAAAAAAGTATCTAAGACTATCAGGAAACTTGGCAGGGATCTGCCTGGAAAATGAGCCTTCTGGATGGGAGAAGTCCCTGAAGAGGGTGAAAGGGGACAGCATTCTGAATGCTGGGAACAGCCTTAGCAAGTCTGTAGATGCTCCCTTGGGTCACAGTCGGATGGGAAGACAGCATACAGGGACAGTGGAACTATGTCTCTGCAGGCGGAATAAGTGTGTCCTAGGAGGGCCCTGGGGTGCCCAGTGGAAGCATCTGTGACACAAGAGATAGGCCGTAGGAGGACAGGATAGTGCTTCAGGAAGGGGCCCCAGCAGGAGTGCTGAGGACGGGTGGGCACTGGAGAAACAAGGGAGGAAATCCAGGGAGAATGCAGAGGCCCTGTTTCCTATAACAAATGTGGACTGTACATGGGAAAAAGTGAATGCCAGTATCAGAGTAAAGAAGAGGACAGGAGCTGGAATTGCAGTGATGAGGGGGAGGCAGATGATGGGCTGGGGACACCACAGTCACTGCCACTACAGAACCCAGGGCATGGAGTGTGGAGGAGCAGGACTTATGATGGCTTGAGCTAGCTCATCCTCTGAAGCCAAGGACCACCCCCAGCAGGTACTAAACAGGATGCTGGTGTCCTGGAGAGGAGATAGGAGGCAGAATGCCAAGGAGTGATGAAGAAGAATCTCTGTACAACATTTGTCCCCTCTAAGCCACACATTTCTATAATATTCTTACACTCATGCTTACTTGTTAAAAATATTTTATTATTTTTATGTGTATGAATGTATTGCCTGCATGTATGTAAGTACGCTCATGTTGTACAATGCCCATGCAGGTCAGAAGAGGGCATCAGATTCCCCTGGAACTCGAGTTGTGGATGGTTGTTAACCACCATGTGGGTGCTGGGAATGGAACCCAGGTCCTCTGCAAGAGCAGTCAGTGCTCTTAACCATGGAGCCATCTCTCCAGCCCTGTTACTTTTATGATCCCTGAAATCAATACTTATAAAACTGAAGCAGCTGAAGACTTCATAGCACCAAGAACCCATCTGAAGAACCGTCCTCCAAACAGTGCCAGTGAAAACAACTTGTTTCTCGAACTACTTTTACAAGCAAGCACTTTGGTTGGCTGTAGGAAAACTCATGTTGGGACCTGACCCCCGCAATCAGCCTTACAGAAGGCTGGAATAGACAATTTCAGAGATCATGTCCTGTAGACCAGTCTCTGCTCCTAGGAGCCCATCTGTGAGGAGAGATGCGTGCTTAAGAGAGGAGCTTTTCCTTGCTCTTAACACATACTCCCAAGACTTGGGGGACTCCCTATTTGGTGAAGGGGTATGCAGAAAGCAAAACATTGGTATGCGATTTTATACATGACTAAAACCTGGAACACACGGATTGGCCAGGATGGTCAGTCCAGTAACAGGAAAGAGTTAGAGCAAAGGCTGGGACTGGGGAGGACAAAGTTGAGGGAATGGGGATTTGATTTGTGTGGCTGAGACATGGTCTTTCTGGGAGAAATGAGCACTGGCTGAAGGATTTCCATGGGCCCCATCTTGCTGGAATGAGCCCAGGAAAGGTCTCTCTGGAGGGTTCCTGAGTGTCATTCATTTCTCACTGCAGTAGAGTCCTGCAGGGGTTCCACAAGCAGCAATTAATGAGAGGCCACTTTGGCAATGACAGAGCAGGGCTGGTAACTGAAGTAAGAGAGAAGGCAGCCCCTAAGGAGGGGGCCCCAAGGACACCTGCTCTGGCCTTCAGCAGATGCTTCAGGAGCTGCATCAGGTGATGTGCTGCTAAACAAAAGAGAAGCATAAATTTAATGCAGAGGCTGGAGGACCCTGAGCCAACACATATGTGCATGTATGGACAGTGAGGGTCAGGGCCCAGGAGCAGCCACGTGCTGCACACCCAACAGGTGCTGGATATTGTGTCAAAAAGGAGATACTCTGGCAATACAATCTCCTCCTGACATTTTGCACAAGAGGAACCTGAAGTGTACAGTCACAATTAGTGACAAAACCAGAGCTTATAGGTCCAGGGCCCACAGGGGAACTCCAGCTCCTGACTTTCAGAGTAACAACAGCTAGAAGAAGGTGGCATAGCGAATGTCAGGGAAACAGTACCAAGAGCACCCTGAAAATCCAGAGCAGAGAGAAGCCTTTTTGTGCTGTGTGTGGTATATATGTGTGCACATATACAGGCCCACATATGGAGGTCAACAGGTTGATATCCATAGTTTATCAGTGTCCACTTAATTGCTTCTCCACCTTCTTCTTTTTGAGACAGGGTCTCCCTGTAGTTCCAACTGGCCTAGAACTCACTAGGGAGACCAGGCTGGCCTTAATCTCACAGAGATGTGCCTGCCTCTGCTTCCTGAGTGCTGGGATTAAAGGTGTGTGGCACCATACCCAGCTCCATCCTATTCTTTTGGACTGGGTCTCTCCCTGAACCTGGATTGCTCCAATTCAGCTAGAGTGACTGGCCAGCAAGCTCCAGTGATCCTGTCTCTGCTCCCCCTACCCCCAGTTCTGGGATTAAGGTGTGCCACCATGCCCAGCTTTTTATGTGGATTCTGAGGGATCAAACTTGGGTGTTCCTGCTTGCATGCCAAGCACTTTTTGACTGTGCCATCTTCCTAGCTTCGGGAGAGAAAAATGTCGAAAGGAGAATACCTCAGATGGGCCTTTGTCAGTGATGACTGACAGACTCAATACAATGACCTCTTTCAAGAGAGGTCTGGGGTGCAGAGGAGTGTGTCTCTTGCCTTTACACAGTCTAAGGGGAAGACTGTTTATCAAGCTATAGCAACACAGCATGGCAAGGGTTTGGATCCAGGGGAGGGTAAGTAGACACCCCCACACACTTGGATCTATTCAGGGTGGAGGGGAGGAGAAAGGCTGTTCTTAAAGGGGCCTGTAACACAGCAAGAAGCAACACTGCCTGGCTGGGTCCTCAAGGCAGGTTCTTCCTCATGCTGCCCCCAACAGAAGGCCAGGGCTTGTGTTTCAGTCCTGTGTGGCTCACAGAAATTAGCTAACTCACACTAGACCACATAGCTAAGCCCTGACCCTTGGGATTTCCAAGGCCCCACTCTTCCCACATTGCCTCCTCTCTTACCCTACAACGACTAGAAGAGAGGCCTATAGCTCTTCCTTCTGATTTCTAGAAAAATCTTCTGATTCCCAAGACTAGGTGTGGGCAAAGCCAAGACCACATGAGCCTCATAGTATGTTGAGTTCCCTGAATGACAGTGTCTCCTTGCCAGACTCCAGAGCTGACAAGACAGCTGAATGGTGACCCCATCAGGATCAAACCCAGCTGGGCTGCTTGGGAGCCTGAAAACTAAAGTTGGGGCCTGGGCTGACACACAGCTTCTCACACTTGCTCTCCCACTCTTCTTTACACCAGGGAAGGCAGGGCCTTGTCCCCAGGGTGAAGGAAGGAAGGACTGGCCATGTGGATTGTAATGGGAACCCCTGGGGCCTAAAGACTGGACTTTCCTTGCAATGGAGCACTCTGTGCAGGGAGAGGCTGGTCTTCCACCTCAATCAGCACCCACTGTCAGGCCAACTCCCTTTCCTCCTTGACTTTCACAGGGTAGGGCCAGCAGAGCCTTTATTCCTTCCTCACAGACACCCAGCTGGGTCAGGCATTCATCCCTCTGGAAGCCAGCAAGGTCAGCTCCTTTCAGACCCTTAAAGAAGCAAAGCCTGGATAGGGCTGTCCTTTGTTGGACCCTGGCTCCCAGGCCTTTGATCTTCCAGGCTCCCATATAGACTGTTGTGACGGCTGCCTCAGAAGCCCATTGTGGGCTCCTGCTCCTGCCTGGCACCTGAAAGGCCCAGAAGGCCTACTTGTCATGCAGAGGTTACAGTGTCTTGTTACAGGACACTGGCTCTGGAAAGGATGTGTGTGGGGGGGAGATACAATGGAGGGAGACTGTGGAAGGATAGGGCTTTTGTGTGGGAGGAATCCAGCCTCTGCTGCAGAGGGGCCCTGAGAGCTGCAGGAAACCCCAAGCAGCTCAGGAATTTGGGGAACTTGAAAGGTAGGACCCGGTCTCTGACAGGACTGTATTTTTGTTATTGTTGTTATTTTAGTTTCAGTGCTGCCCTCACTTGATACTTCCATTGTATTATTGTACTAAAAAAGTGCACCTTGGAAGGAAAGGCACGTACCTCCACACCACTCCCCCCGACCCATTTCTACACCCCCCCCCCCCCCCACACACACACACACACACACACACACACACACACACTCACACACTGCATTTAGGACTTTGGATTGGATAGCTCATCTGTTCTCTGAAGCAAGACTCCTGGTCCAGGACCAGAGGCCTGCAGCAAGATACTAACCCAGGACCTCTGGAGTCAAGGACACAGGTAGAAGCACAGGGTGAGATGAGAGTCTGCCTCTCTGGCCTGCAAAGTCCTTTTTCTGGAGCCCTGAGAGTAACAGTAGCAACACCTTCCTCAGGCTGGGCACACAGCTTGGGCAGTACCAGGTGGGATAGCCATTGGATGATGCCCAGCTGCCCTTGACCAATCCCAAGTTGCTTTGGTCTCAAAGGAGCCACAGCACAGCCCTGTCTTGGGTACAGAGATCTCTCATGCCCAATGCAACTTAAAAAAAAAAATTCAATCATCTTTTAAAAAAATTATCTGTGTATGTGTGTGTCTCTATGTAGGCATGTACATGTAAGTGCAGGTACCCATGGAGGCCTGAGGTGTCAGATCCCCTTGGAGCTGGAGTTATAGACAGTTGTGAGCCAGCTGAAATGGGTTCTAGGAACTGAAATCTGGTTTGTGTTCTTAACTACTGAACCTTCTTCCCAGCCCCTCAACCTTGGTCTTGACACCCGTCTGCCCCAGATGGAATGAATGCTATTATCACCATTTTAGAGAGGCCTTTATCTCCAAAGAGCAGTGCTTGGTAAGGAAGGCCACCTTAGCTTTTTAATATCCAAAGGTCTGGGACAAAATATCTGGCCTTTGGATAGACAAGTAGCACCACCTCCACAGCTGCCCCTTAAGAACTCGTGTCCTAAATGCTGACAGAGCTGGCATGGGATGGTGGAATGTGGTGGGCAGCTGCTGAAGCTCAAACATCTTGGTTTGGGGATCTTAACTCAAATAGTCAGGGACTAGTACCTATAAAGTAGAAATGGCATACCTGATCCTCAGCCACCCAGCACAGTGCCTACAACTTGGCAATGCTGTTTCTTGCCACTCTGAACTCCTTCAGTTCTTCAAATGCTCCATCTTCTGGCTCTCCCACACCTCCAAGACCTCCCAAGGGCCTTCCTTTTGCCTGAGACAGTCTCCTTCCCTCCTTCTTGCTTGGCTAATTCCTCCTCATCCTGCACTTCCCAGCACAGGCCTCACTTCCTCCGGAGAGCAGTCTCTAATTTCCTGCTCTCAAAGAATCCTCTGTGTCACCTCTCTCTTACAGCATCTAGACACAGATGAGTCAGATTCCCATCTCTTCATTGGACCAGTGGACAGGGATAGGTATCGTTTTGCTCACAGCTATATCTCTAGCAGCACACAAGGTACCTGGCACAGGGTCTGAGGATACATTTGCTAGAATAATAATGTCAAAGTAGCAATAAAAGCCCCTTAAGGGCCTGAGTGGAAACCCAACATTCCAGTTTTACCGGGTCAATCACCTGGGCTCAGCTCCCTAGAAAAGGGAGTTCATCTCAAGTCATGCTAAAGAGATAGGTGGAATGCTGGGTATGGTAGTGCTTACCCATAATCACAGCACTTGGGAAGTAAAAGCACAAGGATCAGAAGTTCAAGGTCATCCTCAGCTACGTAGTAAGTCTGAGGCCAACATGGGCTACATGAAACCCTGCATCAACAACAACAACAACAAAACTTAACTGTTCTTAACTGAAGATGTTTCATAAGCAGGGATTCAAAGCCAGCTATTTGAAAACTATTTGCTCCCTGGATACCTCCCCTGTATGCAGGAACACACATTTCAATATACTTCTGTTTGTTTTTCTCTTGTTAATCTGTTTCAGGAATCTCTTCCAACTAAGAGCTTATGAGAGCTGAAGAAAAATAATTTTTCTTTCCTTATGTTATCATTAAGCGCTGACTGTGGTGGAGTTCTTGGCATAGCCCAGCCAACCTACTGGCATCTTGACATCTCCCTGGGTCTCCATTCCTGAAAGGAGGTGCGCTCAGCCATTAGTAAAGAAGGTGGGCTCCACAGAGACTACAGCAATACAGCGTCCAGCTTAGCACTGGGGTGGGCAGGAGACTGTCCTCCTTCAATAACAGTCCATCTTTTATGTACAGAGAGGGAAAGAACAGGGCCTCAGGGAAATCCAGCAGTCATCAAACTGGAGCCAACACCCTCCTATCTGTGGCTGCAGTGGTTAAGCTAGTGTTGCCAGAGAAACAGGACCAAAGCCAGAAAAACTGCTGGTAGAAGGCATGGCCTCCTGCAGGAAGGCCCCAGAAGGGCTGCACACTGTCTGGAAGCTGCTCTCCACTCTCCTCTCCCTGTTTTGAAGCTTAGCTTCATCACAGCCAGAAGAGGTATAAAAGACTCTAAATCCAGTGAATTTTCCTGTTCTGCACCACTTTGTGGGTGCTAGCTGCTCTGGCCACAGGGTACAGCTGCCTACCATTCATCTAGCAAACATGTTCGAGTACCTGCTGTATGCCAAGGACCACTGCAGTTGCTGGGGATAGAACACGTGAGCAAGTGCCTACACTGTTAAGGGCTTTGACCTCAGATGGTAATTGAGGATTGTCTTTACCATGAGCCTTCACAAGGCTGTTTCTACCCAGACAATGGTTTTGCTGGGTGCTATTGTGTAGTATATTATACTATATTATCCAGCCTTTTCAACTAAGACCATCTGGACTGTGCTCTCACCTGGAGAAGGAACAGATATGGATTTACCTCTAGATTCTCCAAGGAGCCTAAGACAGAGCCTGCTACTGCTGTAGTTTCACAACCACCCAAAGAGGAGGCCCCAGCAGCATTTGTCCCCAAATGCAGGAATCCCATCCCTTGCAGTGAAAGACCCTGTAGTACCTATAGAAATGGAATGGGGGCCAGAAGCTGAAAATCCAGCTGTGCAAATGGCACGCTGGCTTCACATGAGCTGCCGAAAAAGGGAAGAATACCATGGGTGAGTTTCTACTTACGCTGGGGGAGGATATAATAAGAAGGCACAATTTCTGGTATCAGATACAGAAAAATTAGTGTCCAAGGCACATGAGAAAGATCAAAGTCACTGATCAATGGTGTGGATGACACACTGAAGATGCCAGGATAAGTCCTTAGGGAAGAATGGCCAAGGAGGAGGTTACTGGTCTGCGGATCAGGAATGTACAAGATTAACACACCCAGATTTGCACTGGCCCTCATTGGAGCAAAGTGTTCAGTAGACAGTTAATACCATGCAGTGGGGAACAATGTCCCCAAGCCTCCAGGCAACTTGAGAGCCGTATGCCTCTTACCCAGCGAGTATGTAGGGCCTGAGCAGCTGCGGTCCCGGCTGATGCCAAGGAAGGGCGAAACCACTTGCTTCACCAGCTCCTCCAGCTGCAAGTAGCCCTCACTTGGGCCTGTGGGCTCGTGAACACTCTACAAATGAACATTCAAGACAGACAAAGGTCAGTGAAAACCGTCACCACAACAGGCACTTGTCAACACATCCTGATGGCCCTCCTCTGTCTGCAAGGCAGTGTGTCCATAGGCAGCCTCCTTGTGGTTAGAATGAAGGAAACAGGCCTGAAGCAATGGTCCCTTGTCACAAGTCACTGGGATGCAAATGAAAAATGACAGGAAGTAGAGAAATGGCAAAAGGTGGGAGGAAAAAATGAACAAAGACTTGAGCTGAGGGATGTGGCCCTTGAGGTTGCAGCTTACACAGAGCCTCTCTCAGGTAGCTGTCCCAGGCCCTCTGCCTATCGGCCAGATTGCCCAGGCTCTGCATTCAAAAGTTGATAAGAATGTTGAGTGGGAGATGGAAGACTATTAAACCAGAAACAGAGCCTTCTAAGTACAGTATCTGGGTTCTCCCAAGGCAGCATGGGTGACACAGTCTCAGCTCCAGCTCTAAGGGTGAGATGTGACCAGGCCACATGATGAAACTACCCACAGCAGAGTGATTCGCTCAGCCATAGCACAGAAGCACTTCATGGAAGCACTTAAATGCCTCTGGACAACCAGGGACAGTAGTGTGCCACTGTCCCCCTGATAACCCAGGACAGAAGTATGCCATGGGTCCCCTTCTACTGACTGGAAATAAAGACCAGAGTGCTTAAGTAACCTGCCTAGTCTAACACAGCCAGTAAATGACAACAAACAAACAGGTAAAAACAATACTGGCCTGGAACCCAAGCTGCCTGGCTCTGAGCCCATCTTCCTGTCACTCTAACACAGGTCAGAGAAAAAGAGAACGAAGTGAAGTGTGGCTGAGTCCAGAGCAGGAGAAAGTAGGTGGGGTCTAGGCCTGTTTTCAAGAGGCCAGCAGGACAAGAGTGCTCAAACTAAGCCTGGGTCTATGCCAACCAAAACAAATGCTCACAATAGCCCAAACTAAAAAGGAACTGGTCGCCACTGCTTTCTAGAAAATCAGCGGGCTCTTTACTAATCCTGTTTCTCACTGGAAAGGGGGTTGAAAGCGTGTCCTCCTCTTGAGGGGTGGCAAAGTCCCAGAGATCATTTGGTAAGAGACAGGGGCCTAAGCAGGAAAGAAGCAAGGCTCTGTGGGGCTGTGCTTAGCCAAAAAGATTACCACATCAAATTCTCAAAATAGACTCTGAATGGCTTCCCTTAAAAAGTAAAAGCTCACCACTACCCTGGGTGTTTTGAGAGTGGAAGGTAAAGTTGTCCATGGAGTGAAACAGGAAGGGCCAACTCCTTCAGGGCTCCCTGGGTAAGAAGTGGCTCCCAAGGAAACAGGCCCTTCCTTGGTCCTCTGAGCTGCACCATAGGGATGCACATGCTTGGCTGTGGAGTAGCTTAGTAATGGAAAGCTGACAGGCACAGAGTTTACAACCTGGGGCTAGACAAGGAGGGGAAGGGAGAGAGGCAAAGTGAACCATGACCCAATGGGAGGCACAGGCACGGGAGAAGTTCCCACGACCTCTGCTCCAGCTTTACTCTCGCTGAGCTGAAGTGTCAGAATGCTTAGTGCTGAAAACAAAAAGAAAGGAAAAGAAAAGAAAAAGAGTTGCTTTTCTTAGGGTGACACAAAATCCTGCCCAAACTGAAGGAGAATACTCAAAGCATTGGAGGAAAAGGGGAGCCTTATTCGTGCTCCCCAGGAATGGCACCAGGCCTCAGAGCATAGCACTTCCAGCCATAGAGAACTTTCAAGCTCTGGAAACCTTTTCTTCTTTTATTTCTGCTCTTGATAGCTCTTATCAGGTTCTCCCTGAGCTTTTCTTCCCCAAATTCATAAGTGATAAAGAGAGAGAGATACAAGAAACAGATGTGCAAAAGGCAGGAGGAAAATGGATGATGACGACATGGCCTAAAGGCTGGGTGGTTCTCCCAGGGATGTGGCCCTTGAGAACACTGCTTGCAGAGTAGAGGACACAACGCAGCCAGTAAATGGTAGACTTTCACGGCCCAGTATTAAATGAAGATGCTGGGCCCCATATTCAAAATTTAGTAAGAATGTTGAGGGGGAGATGGGAGACTATTAAACTAGGCAGCGGGCCCTCAAAACACAATGTCACACACCCTCCTCTTTTCTTTGTATCAGTCAGGTCATTTTGGGAAGATCACTGGGTCTCATACTTCTGTGGAGAGTAAGAGCCTGGAAAAGAGCAGACAGTTCATAGTATGTCTCCTGGTTGGTCCCAGGGTAGGTTCGCTGAGCATTCCATTCAGATTCCCAAGCTGCTGCTCCCAGGGCCTAGAAGACGGACTTGGACTCAGGAAGGACCTACAATGACTCCTGTCATCCTCCCTGCCTCAGGCTCAACATTTCTTAAGTAAAGACAAACAAGGCCCTAGTCCCATATGATGCCAAGCACCTCGCCCTGGAGTGTGTGACCATCTTCGAAGCAATGAGGACATTTCCAATACCTGGGAGGAGACAGGAAGGAAGGGTGGGAGGACGATAGTGCTGAGGAATGGCTGATTGGTCTAGATCTCCACAAATCAGTTTATGTTCCATTAGTTAGCAGACCTCTCTGACCCTTCATCACCTTGAAGTGAGAAAAGCAGCCACAGGAGGGGCTGTTTCTCTGCCTAATTTTCCCGAACTTTGATGTGACCATACATACTCCTTTGACTGTATTTCCCTCTCCCAAAAGAGAAGAAGCCATTATGAGACCCAAGGCCAGCTGGGAAGTTTGCAGTTGCATTACAGGGAGCAAAAACAGGACTGGCCAACGTGGATGGAAGAAATTCTCCTTGGTAGCAAGTCTAACTTATCTTTAGGGACTTTAGGTAGTAAAGGCATGTGCTGTCAGGTTCCACACAAGACCCAGAACCTCAGAATGTGGCACATGGCTTTCATTTTAGAGATAGGCCCTCCTACTCCAGCCTCAGGACACGAACATCTTCAAAGGACACTGGAAATTAGGGATGTGTGGTTGTTACTCTTGATCATCAACTTGATAAGAATTAGAATCACAATGGAAACAAGCCTGAGGGCTTGTCTGTGAGGTATTATCTATAAGGTATTAGGTTAACTGAATTGGGAAGTCCCATTACCTGGGCAGCATCATACCCTGAGCACCAGCATTCCTTCCTTTCTACTTCCTGTCTGCCAATATGTGGTATGAGAGTGACCAGTTGCCTCAGCCCCACCTTCTTGCTTCAGGCCTTCTTCGCCAGGATGGCTGTAAGCCTAAAGAAACCCTTCCTCTTTTAAGTTGCTTTTGTCATGTATTTTATCACAGCAAAGAGGAAAGTAAGCAGCACTGGATGCCTCCCTGAAATATAACAAATGAAACAGAGGGTACAGCCTGACTTCCTTCCTAACCTCAGTCCCAGAATCCTCAAGTTTCCTTTTCTACACTGCCTGTTTGGAAGCCAAACTGAGATCAGCGCTTCAAATGCAAGCTGCAGGCACCTTTCTACTGCCATCCTTCTCCTTCTCTTCCACAAAAGTGCTGGACCTGGTACTCCAGTCACTTCTACCCACCCCCATGCCTGAGACAGCCCTTCCTCCTCCCCGACTACAGGAAAGGAAAAGTGCCAAAAGATGGTGCTGAGACGGTCAAATGCACAGCAGCTGGGAGAAGGGGAGCTGGTGGCATTCCACTTTGGCTGCAAGGACAGTGTGGTCATCAAGAGCCTGATGGGGGCTGGAACCTGCATGTCACCCATCCCAGAGGCCATGGTGGTCCCACCTGACCCTACTCAAGGTCATAGCCAGTTGGGCAAAGGGAATCACCAGCCCAAAGTATGCCAGTCAGATTCTTTACTCCACCAAGCGGGAAGCAGGATGCACACAGCTCTGAATCATACCACCTCTCAGCAGCTGAGGGATTTCACAAAAAAACTTCCTCTGTTTTTGTTTCCTCATCTGGAACATGGGAATAACAACAATGCCGACCCTATAAGATGGTTGTTTGGATTGTTTAAGAAAACAACAGTTATAGTCTTATGCCTACACCTGGCAAATAGCCAGGGGCTGAGCCGTGTTAGCTCATCTTCCTGTTGTTGGTTTAGGTTTGGGATGAAAAGACAGCATGCAGCCATCTGGGTAGTGTCTCTCTGGAAACAAGTGCTTTGGCTCAAACAAGGTCTGAGCGGGTGCAAATGATTCCACAGGCAGAGAAAGAACAAGTCCAAGAGCTACCTGGTAAGGCCAACAGAGACAGCATCAGAGAGAAACAAGGAAGACAGATCCAAGCAGAGATCAGGAAGTGAAGGGATGCCTGCCAGTGGCTCTGGGACCTGACACGATCTGGCTTTGTCATGAAGCCCATCTGCCCTGGGAGCTTCTAGGGTTGGCTTGACTCAGTTAAGGTAGATTCTTGTCATAACTTAAAATTCTTAGCTCCCTGACATAACTAAAGAACAAGGAAGGACATTCACTCCTCACTAACTGGCGCCATCACTCACTGAACCATGCTCAATGAATAATATTCTAAATTCTGGGCTGAATGCTGAGGGCACAAGTATGAGGGGAAAGCTTAGGATCTGCCTTGACTGTCCCAGAAAACAGTGTTCAGAGCAGAGGAAAAGTGAGCACCAAGATCCCATCACTACAAAGACAAAGAAAGCCACAGTCCTGTGTACGACAGTCAGGTTCTAGGTGTTCCTTTCTCTCCTTACCTCAATACCAGCACTGAGCACAGCACTAGGACCTGACAGGTGCACAGTGAATACACATCACATGAGCGAGCCAACCAAGAAACATGCACAAAGTAAATGAAGAATGCCCAGCTCAGCTAAGGTGCTCTGATGTTCAGTCTGTCTCCTCCTCCCCCTCCTACCATGGCAGATCTTCCACCACCACCACCACCGCCACCACTGCCACCACCATGGCCTGAAGGACAGCCCTTCACCAGCCCTCACCTGCAGGACAAGCAGCATCTGTACGATGGACGAAGGCAGCTTGGACTTCCCCAGTAGCAGCAAGTCACCCAGCTTCACCTTCAGCAGGACCAGGTCCCGGAAGCCCAGCAGAGAGATCTGGCGAATGGTGAGTTCTTGTCCCTGGGAAGGAGTCAGGAGGAAGGGTGAGAGGTTAGTGCTGGCTGAATAACCGTCAGCTTTGAGTAATTCAGGATAAAACATGTTTATGGAGTGTTCTAGGTAGGCCAGACAGGCCTGTGCAAGGCCTGTTGCCCGAAACAGAGGAAGACACAGCTTCTGTCTCCTCTGGCATTAAGAAAAGATATGGAGGCTGGAGAGATGGCTCAGGGGTTAAGGACACCTGCTACTCTTGCAGAGGACCCAAGTTCAGTTCCCAGCACCCATATGGAGGCTCCATTGCCCTCTTCTGACCTCTGTGGGCACTGCACATACATCAGGTACAAATACACACATACAGGCAAAGAAGAAGGAAGAAGAAGTGGAACTAATTAAGGATGAAAAATGACTTGTGAGGCAGAGGGGACGTGTCTTTTCTAGGTATTGGAATGGTGGGCAGAAGACAGAAACACTAATAGTCGTAAGAGTTGGCATTTATTAAGCTCTCTGTGGTAGGTAGAATTCCAGATATTTTGAATGTAAACAACACATGTATCTCCTGTGGCTTGCATGTTTGTGTCCCCCTCGGAATCACATGTGGGAACTTACCTCCATCCCCATGGTAATAGGATACGGAGATGAGCCCTTGGAAGAAGCTCACAGAAAGCCCTCACTCCTTTACCATGGGAAGAGATGACAAGGAGGTGTCACCTATGAAGGGACAGACAAGCCCCCACCAGACTCTCAACCTGCCTGCACCTTGAGGTAAGGCCTGTGGAAGAAAGTCAGGTATGCTCTTGAAGGGGACACTGGAATCACAGCCACTTTTTGTTTCATCCTCCTTCCTGGTTACCTTGATATAAATAGACCTCTTTTGCCTAAGGCCATGATGTACTGTGCTTCCACAGGCTCAAAGAAGCCAAGTGACCATGGACTGATATCTGTGAAACCATGAATCAAAGTAAACCTTTCTTCCTTGTAAGTTGTCTCAGTCATTTTGTCACAGTTATGGAAAGCCAACTAACACTATCACTATTGCATAAATGTGTGAAGCAATTCCTTATAGTAAATGTCCATTAAGAGAGAACCAGGAGTCCTCTGAAACTGCTGCTGATCTTAGCTGCCTCTGAGATTGCTGTTTATCTTATCTGACTCTGAGACTTCTACTAATCTTATCAATAAATCACACTAGGATTGGCTACTCCTGGAACTCAGGGGGAACTGTTGGAGATAGGCTGTTGCTCAAGATAGCCTGTCCTGCTTGAACAAGGGGCCCCGAAAGATGAGACATGTAGACCCCTGCATCCTCTTCCTCACTCCCTAGCCTCTATATGATCTATAACTCTACTGATACACAAGTGCAGTTGCTTCCATCCTGCAGGAAGGTTGCTGTCCCTCGCTGTGCCCTTTGAATAAAACCCAGTCCTGTCTGAGGTTTAGTATGGTCTTTCTCTTTTTCTCCTAAAACTACCATGATGGTGCCAAAACCCAGGAGGGTTGTGGGGGCCCCTGCTGGCATCCCTAGACCCTCCTGGAACCTCCTTGACTTTCCTACTCTTCTGTTCTGTTCTGTATAAACCCAGGCCTGGCTCCTAGGAGAAGGCAGGAACAGTCTTCCACTTTTTTCCTTCCACTCCCCCTTTTCTGAGACCTTGCCAGACCTCTAGACAAGAGGCCACTCTCCATTTGCTTCCAATTTGCATCCATCTCTCGGGACAAAGTAATCCATTGGGGTCTGACTCATGGACGCCTCTGATCAGGTCTCAGGAACCCCAGGGTTCCTCCTGTTTTCCGGTTGGTTCTAGGAAGCCTTATGAGACTCTACAAGTCTCCAACTGGGCAACTCAATGAGGCTCCAGGAGCCTCCCACTGAGCCCTTGGACTGGATACCCTGGAGTCTACGAGGAGTCTACCTCCCTCCTAGACACTAGGTTGGTTTCTGGTCAATCCAAACCTCAGGGGTTACCTCAGGGCGCTGGATCGGATCCCCTTCCTATTCTTGCCTTGTTCCCAAACCCACCATAGGATCCAAATTGTCTGTTCCAGAGGACACATCCTTAGCCTGTCTCCAAGCTAATCAAAAGAGGAGGAGGAGGAGGAGGAGGAAGAGAAGAAAAACTCCTTTGGGAGGTTTCAGGTCAGCCACACTTATTTGACTCTTGGTCCAAATCTGGCCTCAGTACACATTGGATAATGGCAACCACATTTGGATAATGGTCCACATTTGGAACTTCCAACTTTTAGATTTTAACTGATTTAAATAACTTCATGTCGATTTATGTTTACTACCAAAGAAATAATTATTTTAAAATAATAATTTACTTGATCTCAATTTAACTCATAAGTTCTCATTTAAGCTAAATTGTTAAATTACAATATGGTTCCTATTGCTAAAAATAGAAGTTAAATTTAAATGATGATTACTTCTGCTCCAGGATACAATTTATCTATGAAAGTGTTATTTTTGGTGTTTTCCTTTGATGTTAAATTTCTCCTTTTTCTGACTTAGGCCCACTCTGCCTACATTATCTGAATACCCTTTTATGTATCTAAATCTACTAAAGTAATCTTAAGTTTTCTAAGGTCAAACCTCAGTCAAACCTTAAATTAGTTCTTGTAAAGACTAACTTAAGGAACAAAATATATGTATATTCAGTTTATTCAAAAATATTTGTTTTTATTGAAGCTTTACTACCTACATGTTACATAGTAATTAAAGGTACCAGACTGATGTAACTGCCTTCTTGGATGTTTAATAACCGTACTGAAAGGCCTGTACTAATTTGATCAAAGGCACTTAAAGGAACAATTTTTGTTCCTTTCCCTCCAAGGTCAACTAAGTCCCAAGGGACTATGGAGCGTCTATCAAAATGTCCTTTAGCTGTGATGAGTCACCTGTCCTCTTGTTCATGGAGGCCATAGAGACCCCACCATATGGACTTGAACCAGTGTCCAGTCCAGTCCAGACGAGGGTCAACACAGAGAAAACATTTCCTCAAAGCTTCCAAGCGAAACCATGGCCAATCAAGGCTTCTAACTAATCCTCACATAGATGGAACTGATAAAGAAAAGCCTAAGGAGCCAGAGGATCCTCCCAAGGCCATGTGACCCTTGAGAACGAGATCCTCAGCTGACCTTAAGAGTATAAATATATTGGTTTATTTGAACAAACTTCATGGTCTTAAACATCCCCAAATTAAAATAATATGTTTCGGCTGGAGAGATGGCTCAGCGGTTAAGAGCACTGGCTGTTCTTGCAGAAGACCTGGGTTCGAATCCCAGCACCCACATGGCAGCTAACAGTTGTCCTTAACTCTAGTTCCAGAGGACCTGACACCCTCTTCTGTCCTCCTTTGGGAATTGCACAACACGGATACACTTACATATATGCAGGCATAATACTCATACATGTACAAATAAATAATTAAAAAAAAAATAATATGTTCCTTTCAGAGTCTAAGAAATTGTACTTCCTAGACCTTAGGCTTAAAAGTTCATATGAGATGTTATTTAAAAGATCCTCACTAAAATTTTCTCCTTGAAAAAATGCTACTCAGATATAATACTTCAGATCTTAGTCTAATTCAACACTTCAGTGCCTACCTGCAGCCCAAAAGACAAACCCACTATTGCTCTTATCTAAAAATTCAATTATGGCTAACTTTCTTCTCTCTCCCTGCCTAGAAATCATTTGGGAGTTTTTTTTTTTTTAAAAAAAAAAAAAAAAAAAAAAAAAAAGAAAGAAAAAAAAGCCTGAAAAGCAGATTCTGAGTCCAGCTGTGGCAGTCAAAAGAAAAAGAAGTAACCCAATAGACAGATGTTCTTGGAAATCTTCACTGAGAAACTCTATTGGACTTTAATTTGGACATTTAAAACTCACCCTGTTCTGACTTTTACTGGTTCCCTGCCTAGAACTTCTGTCTAACTACTCTTGCCTTGACTTCTCCCCATCACCTCCAAGGCACCAGTCAAGGACTCTCTTTTCTCTCTATAGCTAACAGTTAACACTTTGGGGATCTTTTAGGTAGACCCACTGAAGGGGTACCCCAGTTGCCACACTGCAGCCAGAATGACCAGCATCCAAATTCCCTATTGGCAATTAGGGTAACATCTTCAGAGGAGGGACTAAGAGCAGGAGGTAGAAGCTGACTAGGCAGTTTAGGGCAAAGACCCCAAAAGAATAATGACCAATTTCTGGCTGAGAGCTGGAAATTCCCTTGGATCTGGGAGTAAGCTTGTCCCTACTTGAGGCTAGGGATGTCAGAACTATCCAATCCAAAAATGTCTCTAGTTCTGCTATAGCTAGAGGTTGGGGAGGCCAATAAGGGGTTCTGGGTTTTTTTTTCCATACCTCTCTCTTTCTCATGAAATAATATCCTACTCAGGAAGACATGCTGAGGACATGAAGAGAACCTCGATGGACCTGGACATCTAGAATGAAGACTGGACGACGAGCTCATCTCCCTCTCCCCTCCTCCTTCTTCCACTAAATCCTTATTGACTCCAAGTAATGAGATCATTGCACTATGATTAATAAACTGTTGTCTTCAAAGATTCTTACAGAATCTCCTGACTGAGCAGCCCATATGATTGCCCAAGCCACTACCTGAGACATATTTAGGCCGTGTTCTTGCTCCATGCCACTTGAGAATTCCTTCCAGTTAAAAGAAAAAGGATGCCCCTTATTCCATTCTTTTTGTGTCTTCAGGGTCTGGAATGATAGAGAACCAAGTCCTCTGAGACTGCTGTTGATCTCAGGTGTGTCTGAGACTGCTACTAACCTTATCAATAAATCACATTGGGATTGGTCACTCCTGGAACTTAGGGGGAACTGTTGGAGACAGGCTGTTGCTCAAGATAGCCTGTCCGGCTTGAGCGAGGGGCCCCAAAAGATGAGACACATAGACTCCTGCAGCTGCATCTCCTTCCTCATGCCCTAGCCCCTATGTGATCTCTAACTATCCTGATACACAGTACAGCTGCTTCCATCCTGCAGGAAGGCTGCTGTCCTTCACTGCGTCCTT